CTCTCTGTATGTGTGTATATATATCTCCTCAATATATGTTCCATTCTATATGCATCCGAAGAAGTGGGCTGTAGTCCACGAAAGCTTATGCTCTAATAAATTTGTTAGTCTCTAAGGTGCCACAAGTACTCCTGTTCTTCTTTTTGCGGATACAGACTAACACGGCTGCTACTCTGAAAGATCATATGGTCAGGTGAATAGGCTGATCCTCATATTTCTCAATGAGGTATTTTTCCTTGCTATGAGGTTCTTGCTAGAACTCTGAAGGAGTTCATGGTAAGATGACTGTGGCACTTGTAGATGATTCTTTAGAAGGAGGCAACCTTACACTGGATCTTGATGCAGCTGAATACAAAGCAGAGAGGGTGAGGCCAAGGATTCCACAGAGGCCAATAGAGTTAGGACTGAGTCTCATAAAGGAAGGGCAAATGATTTCCCATAAATGGAAACCAGAACATGAGAGCACACTGAAGCATGGGATCTGTGATGAGAGGGGCTCCTTTCCAAGGCTACACTCAGGAATCAATCTAGGCAAAGGAAATCTCATAGATGAAGGGCTCCTGCTGCCATGTGAAGGTGATGCAGTTTAACAGAATCCTTCTAGAGGAGCTAGTTCCTGAGGCATAGGAACAGAAAAAGACTCATAGCATGAGAAGGAGGCATTGGTACTTGTCACAAGGCACCCTCGGGGCGGGGCAAGGGCAGTAGCCCTGTGGTTAAGTCAATATGGCTGAGCTCAGCCTCAGGGCTCCATGGCCCAATGATCAGCACCAATAGGGCTCCCCTCGTCTGCGGGAAAGTGTGGTGTGGCCTAATGTCCGGAGTCAATAGGGCTCCCCTTGGCAGCAGGGAATCACTGCCCTATGGCCAAAATCAGTGGGACTCCCCTTTGCTGCAGGGAAGTGTGGCTTAATGGCCAGAGTCAATAGAAGGGGGTGGCTGGGTAGGGGTACCCAGACCCTCCCATCTCCACTAGGTTCCAGCCCTGGGCCCTGGTAGTGGCGAAGGGGTTCACCACAAAGACGGTGGGGAATCTGCCCACAACACACAGACTGACGCAGGGACAATGGCTAGTCCCTCCTTGGGCTACTTCCTACCTGGACTCCTGCAGTGGAAGTCTGGGTGTTCTCAGACTCTCCAGGCCCCTTGGGTGGCACGGCCCTTGGCAGCTGCAATCTCCCTGGGACATCTGCCGGTACCCGGGTGCCTGTCTAGGTCTCAGCGTCCCCCACTCTTGTGGCCTGGGCTTCCGGCTGCTTCTCTGCTGGAGCCGAAGAGGTGCATCCCTCCTCCTCAACAGTCAGCCCAGACTGAGCTGAGTTGCTCCCTTTTATACTGCAGCAGTTGGAGCATACCCAGTAGGGGTGAGGGGGCGTGGCTTCCACTGCCAAGAGTACTGGTTTAACCCCTTCATCTCCCGTGTGGGGCAAGTATACCCCATCACAGTACTGTATAGGTTGGATGTAGAGAAATTTTCATCTTCGGTACTCAGGGCTCTGGTATCAGCAGAGACTGGGATAGCACAGATACAGGAGAGACATCCAGAAAAGTGGATTCTGGTTCCAGAGTAATGGTATATAAAAGCAGCCTTGGTGGACATAGGAAACAGTACTGATGGCGATGGAATTGTGACTGGTACCAACACTGAGGTCTCAGAATTCTTATCAGGATGTGGTACCAATGCCAATGATGCCAAGGAAGTAATGCCAGCCACCCAAGATAGTCGACACTTTGAAACTGTTTTTGAAGCCGGAGCAGACTGCTTTTGAGGGGGAACCTCAGAATCTACACTACACAATGAACTTTCCATTAGAAATAACATTAATGGGCATGATGACACCTTTGTGGGAGCTCAGAAAAAATTACAAATGGCACACACAGATAGGAGACTCCCCTAAACAAAACATTTTGTATGTGCATCATTGGCAAGCATAGATATCTTGCAGGCAGGGCATATTTTAAAGCCCAGAAACCTAGTCTCAGCCATCAGACTGATATTCAAAAGAAAAAAATAAAACTTATCAAAACTAATTCTAAATCTAAGAACTATGGGGAAGCTGGAGGCCACCCTGGGCTCTGACTCGCTACCATGGGTAATGAAAAGGACCTGGTGGTTGAGGCTGCTCTGTCCTTTTTACCCTTGCTGTAGGGGGTGTGAGGGTAAGCAGGATGCATGCATAGCCCCAATGGACACTTCTTGGCTCACACACCTACAGTGATATCCATGTGGACAAATGCTCAAAGAAGATACTTCCAAGTCATATATGATAGGCTTTTATCTGGTGTGGAGCCCAACAGATTCACACCTTGCAAGTTTATCTCTGTGATTCTTTGTACTCTTAGCAAAAGATGCTGAACCTTTCAAAAGCACAAAAACCTTATCTCAGTATTCTTGTAGATTTTAAATTGGCTAGATTATTTATTTCTAGGGGCTATAGCCATAATTGATAAATCATACACATGCAAACAACCTCATATAAGAGGTAGTTAATGTTGGGATAGAGTACCCTTAGTATCACTAGGCATGTCTCTGGTTCCATTAAAAATCTTAATAAATTGGTCATTTATGGTGAAATGTAAAACACACACAAGACAGAGAAGAGGTGTGCTGTTTCTTTAAAACTGTCGCAGGGAGCTGGATAAGAGGTGGACTGAGGAAGTTTCTAGGCTGTAGCGTTACAGTGAAGCAGAGAGAAAAAGGCAGCCAGATCCAGTAACTTCAAGGATACCACTTTTCTGATCTAATGAAGTTCTTTGTTCTGTATTAGAGGGAAGCTACAATTTCAGTTGTCAAAGGTGTTGGTATCACAAGTTGATGTCATTTTGGTGGCTCACACACATTTTGGTGTTGGTGTCACAAATTGGTGTAATTTTGACTCTATTCTGGAAAGCAGCAACTCTGAAAGTGTCCCTAGCCTGTTTGCCAGAAGCTGGGAATGGGCCACTTGATGATTACCTGTTCTGTTCATTCCCTCTGGGGCACCTAGCATTGGCCACTGTCAGAAGACAGGCTACTGGGCTAGATGGACCTTTGATCTGACCCAGTATGGCTGTTCTTATAAAGTGACAGATGTCATGATAATTAACTATCTGCATACATGCTTCCCGCATGATGCTATGGCTACGAGGGCTAGCACTGTCTTTGGATGTATGATTAGGGAAGTACCAAGAAGTGAGGTGACATGACCTGTGTATAAAGCATTAATGAGATTATAGGGAGACAATTTGTTAGTAGATAGTTCTTTATATTTGACAAGGCATAAACACCCTCCAATAGGCTGGAAGATAAAGCTCATGGGATTGGAGGATTCTCCAACATTTGAAGTATTTCAGATTGGATGACTTTCTAAAAGATATGCTCTAGATCAACCAGAAGTTATGAACTTGATGTAGTAATTATTCGTGAAATACCATGGTTTGTGTTATACAGCTCAGGCTAGATCTTCATAACGGTCCCTTTAGGCTTTAAAATGCATGAAAAAGAACAGCTTATTTTGTATACACCATTCCATAAATGTAAGCCAGACCTGTGAGATTCCCACCATAGAACCAATATCAGTTCCAGGGGAGGGCGGGGGGGGGGGAGCGAGGGGGGAGGCGGCGGCAAGGAGAGTCTTCATGGAAATTTGTCCAGCTGCCAACTCAAGTCAAAAGAGGAAAGTCCATCAGTCTGGAATGGAAGAACTCATGAGCAGATATATTTTCAATGCACTTGTTTAGCACAGGACAAAAACCAGTGTATATATTTCAGGAAAGAATTATACTTCATCTTTTTAAAAAAAATCTCAATTTTATTAGGATGTTAGTAAATTATACAGGATAAAATTCAGGAATCCATCGGTAATGGTCATCAATGTGTGCTCATTTTTATTTTACTTACATACACTCGTGAATTTACTCCCAATTTCATTTCTTTTCATTTTTATTCACTATCTTCACAAAGTGGATGCAGCACGTCTTCCATCAGTAAATTTAATGAAAAACATTTCTCTTAGGCAAGGCACAAAGAATTTAGACAAATTTTCAGTAATTTTTGATTAATTCCAATTTTTTTTTTACATTAAGTACAAAGACAACAAGTTAAATAGTCACAAAATATTTCAATGTTACATAAAATCAGTTGTGACTGCAGCATAATGCACAAATCAAAGCAGTCCAAGATGTAAACTGTTTACCATAATTACTAAATAAAAGAGCTTGTTCTGTGTGAACATTTTCAACAACCTCCATCATTAATAAATTAATATTACTGCTCCTTTGTTTTAACCTCTCATTTGAAAACATTTAGAAATTCCATAGCAAATAATGGAAAATTCCAAGAATGAAAAGAGCTGAGATAAAAACTATTTCAAGGCCATTTGACAGCCTTAAAGAATACACACAACCAAAAATGAGTTAATACTTTAAAATAACTCTAGTTAGACATTTAGAATGAACACTTCTAAGCATATGAATCTGTAAGAAAATATGGAAAACTAGCAACAGTTTCAGAGGTGTTCTCGTCTTGGACAAAGTAGTACGGTAGTTACAAACAATGTTCCAACAATTGTAGAAAGTAATATTTCTAAATTTGTTGTGATTACATTTCTTAGGTGACCAAAATGCTCAGGACAACCATCTAAGAACTTATTTACAAAATAAAAGCTTATTTCAGTTTCAAATGTATAAAAATCAGTTTTGGCACTACCCATAAGGCAATGCACAATATACCCCTTACATAGTAAATAATACAATGAAAGGTAAAATTAACTGAAAAGAAATTCTATGCAATATTATTTAAAGGGACACTGTCAATTTAAAAAAAAAATCACACAAGTGTACACCATTAAAAGTCAACATTAGCAAATAATTACCTCATACGGAGATCAGAGATAGTGAAGATTTTCTTTATATTTGCAACAGAAAATATCTGTACTATATTTAATACCACTGTGCATTGCTTTTTGGTAGTGTCTGATGTTTTCATGACTATCAATTTGTAGAACTAGTTTTCTTACCTACAATTAATAGCAACACATTAGGAGCCAGATTCTAAATCCATGGAATGAAAAGAAAACAAGTCGTCTTGTTCTCAAGTTTTGCCACTGGCTTTTACAAGAGCAAGGAGAGTTTTGTCACTCACAGGAGAAAGAAGATAAATAGACAAAATACATTTTAAAAATGTAATCTCTGTTATTGCTCCTAATAATTTCTTTTTACATTTCCATCAGCTTGGCAATGAAAATTAACTAATCCAGTTTCAGTTTCTCAGTGTTGTAATGTTTGGGCTGAAAAGATTGCAAGCAAAAGTTTATTTGTAATCACTTGTTTCCACTGGAATTCTAATAAATCAAAGAAAACTTTTATTAGCCTTGAAATTTTTAAGAGCTTTTTCAAAACCTAAAGGTTAGGGACAAACTTGAATTCACAGTGTCCCTTTAAAGCTGAGCAAGCATAAGATTATTTTAGACTACCAAGAAGCCTATAACACTTGGTTATGCAAACAAAACCTAATAAGTCAGCATGCATATTTAAGACGAAACAAAAATTAAATTTTATAAGATGTTTAAATAATCCAAAGGCAAAAAAAAATAAAAAATTTACTCTCCTTAAGAGCACTCTCATAAAACGTGAAAACTTTGGAACACAAATCAAGTTATTAAAATATTCTGTTCAATGTTCATACAAATAACATTCCTACAATTACAAGCATACATACAATCAAGATACTTTTCATTGTTACCTAATATTTAATTACTTAAATTTACAAGACAAACATAAATAAAGCTGTTAAAACAGGCAAGTACAGTACTGGTCTGTTATTCAGCACAAATTGTTTTGTACTTCTTTCTTCTTGAAACCCCATCAGGTTAGGAGTTTGTGAAGTCATTCTTCAAATCTAAAAATAAAGATCAAGAGAATTAGATTCCTATGTACATGTACAAATGCTTTATATTACCGAGACACATACAAAATGATGAAAAGTTCTATTTCTCATTCTGGTCAAGGAACACAATTACCATTGAATGCTAAGCCTTAGAAGAGGCCACAGTCTTTTAGGTTATTTTTTATGATGACATCAGTTACAGCATCAAAAACAAACTGCACATTCTTGGTATCTGTGGCACATGTGAAGTGAGTATAGATTTCCTTTGTGTCCTTTCTCTTGTTCAGATCTTCAAATTGACACTGGATGTATGCAGCTGCCTCTTCATAAGTGTTGGATCCTGAAGGAAGGGAAAAAGTTGATCAATAAACACTAAATTTTAGACTAAGGGCTTGTCTACACTTACTGGGGGTTCGACATGCGACGACTGATGCACTGGCGGTTGATTTAGTGGGTCTAGTGAGGACCCGCTAAATTGACCGTCGATCGCTCTTCCGTCGACTCCTGTACTCCACCTGAACGAGAAGCGTAAGGGGAGTCAATGGGAAAGCGTCTCCAGTCAACATCGCATAGTGTGGACCCCGCGGTAAGTAGATCTAAATACGTCGACTTCAGCTATGTTATTCGCGTAGCTGAAGTTGCGTAACTTAGATTGATCTCCCCCTGTAGCGTAGACAAGGCCTAAGCAGCAATGAATACTATACACTTTGAAGGAAGCCATGAACTATTTATTTTTTTTAAAACTGCTGGACAGTTTCTTTAAAAAAATGGAACAATTGTATGCAGTTTTAAGTAACCTCACAACTACTGTTTTAAGTATCAGAGTAACAGCCGTGTTAGTCTGTATCCGCAAAAAGAAGAACAGGAGTACTTGTGGCACCTTAGAGACTAACAAATTTATTAGAGCATAAGCTTTCATGGACTACAAGAAGTGGGCTGTAGTCCACGAAAGCTTATGCTCTAATAAATTTGTTAGTCTCTAAGGTGCCACAAGTACTCCTGTTTTAAGTATAAAACTTGCTGGTGGTAAAACATACTGGATTATTAATGCTTTAATTTTTATCTATCTAGCTATCTATCATATATCTATCTATCTATATATAAGGCTATGGACTCAATCCAACTCCCATTTACTTGGAAGTTTTACCCTTGACCTCAATGGGAGGTCGATCAGGTTATTAAAGAGCTATAACTGCTCTGCAAATAGAAATGATGGTTTTGTTTCCATGGAATTGTTTGTTCATGTTTTCAGATTAAACACTAAGGAAAATAAATACTGAGGGAAGCAAAACAAAACAAAAAACCTTCCCCCATTCCATCTATTTTTGTTTACACTCACTTTTCTTTTCCATGGGGCTTTCTTCCATCTCCACCTACCTAAATTTGTATTTGGCCTATTCCCTCTTTTCTCCCAGTTTTAATTACTTTTTTCAAGTAAGTATTCTCTGCACAACAGAATGATAGAATTTCATATAATTGTATAAATCTACCAATAGGTAGTAGAAATCTAAATACAGACCACTGCTGAATTACATCATCCTCTCTTCCTAAAGAATTCTTGCATATCATGTTTTTCCTTCCAATGTGTTTAAAAAAATCTAAATGCCCTAAACATCTTTAGGAGAAAATCCTACGATTTGGAACAAAATGGAGTACAGGAAGAGCCTAAGCAGAATAAATTGGAAAGGATCTCACCACAAAGAACGTTTAAACACTTTAAATACTGAACAATGAACCAAATATTTGTGTGGATTCTCCCCCAGTGTTTCCAAACATTCCATGTATTTGAAAAGATGTTTGACATCAGCTTTCAATAAACCATGAACGTAACAATACTTTTGATTAGTTAAATATTTTAAATTCTTGTTTAATGTTAGTAATTGTCCAACTATGTCCTCAAACCATCATCTTACAATACATCTATGTTGGAAAGACTATCAGAGTTGCCATTTTGTAAGCGGTTACAAGTTTGGGACAGTTTTCTCCCCTTATATGTACAGTTTTTCGTATCTTTGAGCTTCAGTCAACTATATTTTGGAATATGTTTAGACCTGGTTGTGATTTTTCAGGCTGTCAATGCTCGCAGCCCAGAGATAGTGAGTACTGGTCTAACAGGAGCATTCCTGTTCTACAATGAGCAGTTATAAGGCTAAATTCTCTTAGGCTTACTCATATTCATTGTTCTATTGACTCAGCTGGGACTACTCATGTAAGTAAGGAGAGAAGGATTTGGCACATACTTTAAAGTGACTAAAAGTGGCATAGTGAAGTTTCATGTGAAATTGGCTCAGTTTACAACTAAAAAACGATCACCCCTAACTACTAGCTACAGACGCAACTTTGATTCCAGATTAAACTGTTTCTTACTGGTTCATGCATCATAAAACCAGTAATAAGACTCCATAACTAAAGTGACTTGACTTCCCACGTAAGTAGCAGAATACCTGCATATTCAGGGTAGCAAATAGTGAGAGGACTCCTTTTGATTTTTTCTTCAAAGAGATCCTTCTTGTTTAGGAAAAGAATAATAGAAGTGTCTGTAAACCATTTATTGTTGCAGATGCTGTCAAACAATTTCATGCTTTCATGCATCCGATTCTGCAATTGAAAAGAAGATACTTCAGCCTACCCTCCATTATCCTTTTCAATAGTAATGAAATCAGGAAACATATACGTGTTTGATATGGTGAAACTCTTCTAATCGAGTAATAAAATCTCCTGTAAAAGCCTTTTTGGATATTGAATCCCAGAACCTTACCCTAATGCTGTATGAAACAGAGAACAAAATAATCAAAGCACAATTTCCTATAATAATTGTGGCGGCGTTCAGGTGAGTAAATTATTTATTTTTTCATTTACTTATGACTGTAGTTTTGAATATTGAATGTCTAACAATTGCACAGTTTAGTGTCACTCTTCCACATATAGCTGCAAATGTCATAAAGAAAAAGAATTCCAGGGAAGCCAGTGACCTTTAAGTGGATATTGATTACTGTATAACGCCTCTTAAAGAAGTTAAAAAAATCAAATATGGCAGCCCTGCCAGATAGTCAAGTACTCCAGTGTTACCAGAAGATCAAATAAAAAAGTGCTTTACTCACAAACATTTTCCAGTCATGCATATAGCCTCTGCCATGCTTTTAATTGTTTACATCAGTAGACTACCACCCACCCAGGACACAATTTGCCTAGGCTTGACTTGAAGGCTACTTCCTTACCCCCCAAATTACAGTCTACAGGAGAGTCAGCACCACAGAAGTACTTTACTTATTAAGCCAGCTAGAGAGCAACACAGATTAGGATCACTCTTGTCAGCTCCATGAATAAAGAGTGGTGCTAGTTTGTGTCTGTTTTCGCTAGGGGAGTCTGATCCTGAAAGAAGAGAAAAGAAGAGTTGCCGGAAAGAAAAACCAAAGAAACGAAGACATAGCTAGAGGAGACCAGCAAATGCAGGGAAAATTATCAGAGAAAGACATCTAGAAAGGAAGATTGAAGGACTTGAAACTAGGTAAAAAAAAAGAAAGAAAACACAGGGAAAAGACAAAGTGGTGGTCTAAATAAGCCATACGGTTTTCCACTAAAAATTGTTTGAATCACCAAAATTTGTCTTAACAACCCCCTACTATGCAATTTAAAACAAGTGTTCACCTCTGTTACCTAATTTAAAAATAGAATGTCTTTTGGAACATGGAAAAGAGCTACCTGTAAACAAAAGTATTCATTAAGAATTTCTTTCTAGATATTTTCTTATGCCAGTGATATTCAAAGAGATGGCATTTTCTTCACCATTTCTACTGTCCACCGGGACACTTGCAAGTGGAAATTACTTCCTTGTGAAAACAGAGGACACAAACACTTTTCATAAAGGGTTTAACTTCTTTCAGGATCATTTAATTTTTATTTCCTCTTCTCCCCCTTCCTTCAAGATTAGTTTACTTGCCATTTCCTCATCTTCTGCTAGGACCAAGTCATAATCACTGAGCGCTACACAAAAGATTATTGCTGTAACTCCCTCAAAACAATGAATCCATTTCTTCCGCTCTGATCTCTGGCCTCCCACATCAAACATTCTGCAAAACAGAAAAATAAAATATAGTGTTAAAATTCCAGCCTTCTGAATACTATACATAAAATTAAAGAGCAGACTGTACTAGTCTGATCACACAATTTTATGGCGAAAGGGCATTTTTAGAGAAAGTTTTAGAGTAATAGCCTAGTGTTGAAAATTAATTTTAATAAAGCCTTAAAAATCTCTTCAATACAATAATTTGCATTACTTTCTAGCAAAAATTACTTTGAAACTAAAGCAAATAAAATGCCCTGCAGAAGTAAACGTGATCCGTACTACACAGTTTCTCTGCAACTGTTTATGGCTGCAAGATGTCAAAACACTGCAAAATATGCACCTGGATTTAGTTTTATTATACATGTACTTGAATGAAGAGCTTTTCAACTTATTTGGCTTAGTGAAAAAAATGCGATCACTAAAAATACAATAGACCATGAACAAATGTGTTTTCTTAGACAAATACTCTCTGAGCTAGGGTGCAAAATTCTGTACATTCAGGAGCACAGAATAATTATGTGTTTCACTGCTTTGGGGGGGAAGTTTTATAAAAACACTTGGATAATACTCTGAAAATTGAGTAAAAATTACATTTCCGGTTTTTATTTTCACTGTTTCAACATTGCTAAATCCAAGTCACACGGTTTATCACTCAAACTATAATTTTTCTAACTTTCAGCTTTTCAAATTCAGCCTAGAAATCAAGTTGGATTTTGACTCATGCACAGACATACAGCTGGGGTTTGGCAAACACATCAGTTGCTAGTGTTTAAAACAGAAAAATCCAGTTCTCTTTCCTATAGCTGATCGGGTTGATCTTTAAAGAACTCTAATATATAAGCTGAGGTAAGCATTTCAGTACCCAAGAGATGTTCAAGATTTAGTTTAGTCAGCGTGGATTCCTCTGTTGGCGGGCATGCACCTTATGGGTGGGAGATCTGAGTTTTTGAATAGCACTGTTCTTTGAGATCATGCATCGAGGCCTGGGACCTCCTGATACCACTGTACAAGGCATAAAGGGCAAAGTGGCCACAACTCTCCCTCAGTTTCCTCACAATTCAAAGCTTGTGTTAGCTGAGGACTCCTAAAAGCAATCTGAAGTTGCAGCTCAGGCTGGAATTTGGGCTCTGAAGCCTAGAGTGGAGTGGACTTCAAAGCTCAAGCTGCAACTTCAAAGCGCTATCTACATAGCTATTTTTAGACCACTAGTGCAAGCCCCACTATCTAAGTCTATTGACCTAGTATGGAAGGCTCTGGATGTCGTGGGCTGTGTAAACATGTTCTAAAGCAGAGGTTCTCAACCTTTTTCTTTCTGAGCCCCCCCCGCAACATGCTATAAAAACCTCCATGGCCCACCTGTGCCACGATATCTGGTTTTCTGCATATAAAAGCCAGGGCCAGCAAGCAGGGCAATTGCCTGGGGCGCCATGCCACAGGGGCCCCCACAAAGCTACATTGCTCAGGCTTCAGCCCGATGCGGTGGGGCTTCGGCTTTTGCCCTGGGCCCCAGCGAGTCTAATGCTGGTCCTTCTTGGAGACCCCCAACAAACCTGCTCGTGGCCCCCAAGGGGGTCCTGGTCCCATGGTTAAGAACCACTGCTCTAAAGGCCCTGAAAGTATTCAACACTGCAATTTAAATATTCATCATTACAATTTAATCTTTACTTTGGAAATTGTCTTTGCCATGTTTGATATACATGGAGTTATTTGCACCAAAACAAAGCTTCACAATCAAGTTTGTTGAGAAATTATAAAAGACCTATCAAAAACTGCATAGAAAGAAAATTGCTTTGCTGTATTTCTGCAAAATTAAAATTTAAGGTTTTAAACAGATACGATAAGTAAAATCCAAAAAGAACCAGCTTAACCTCTGAGATACAGCTTATCAAAAGGGGATAAAAAACTTGCTGCTACTATTTTAGATTTATTCAGTGCTCAGAAGCACATTAGGTGCTTTACAGACAATGAAGAAATGTTGCCCTACCTCAGAGAACCTTTTTTTAAAATGTAGACATGAAAAAACCAGGAGGGATGGAAGGATAAAGAGTACAATAAGCTAGAATTCTACAATGTTATGTGGTTATTTATTTATGAACCCTGATATATTAAAATATGTCTCTCTTCAAAACTTGTCCCTGTCCATTTGCATCTAAAAAATTCTGCTCAGAAGCAAGTTATTTTTACTGATTCCTCATGTCTATAAATCCACTACTGCTTGTTTAAAAACAAACAAACAAAAACAACAACTCTCCCCCTAAAATCCTAATGACTTCCCACACTCCTTTTTAACTACTACAGTTTAACCCTTGTGATGTTCTGCCCACAAACTCTAAATTTTATGGAGTTCTAGCCTTTTTTAAAAAAGGAAGCAATCAGGCAACCAATTAGGCACAGCCTAGCTGGATGACACATTTACATCCAAAGTAAAGGTCAAGAAGAGTAAAAACAAGTTAAAAAAAATCTACAAAAAGTATGAATAAGGAATCTAACAAGATGTCAGAAATTTGAAAGCCAGATCTTCAGCTTACTGAGGAACAAACAGAACTGATAACTAGGGGTCAATAACTCACAATTTGTACTACTGTCACTCCCAGGGGCTTCAAATTCCCTGGCTTTGCTAATCAGTTTGCTTATCACTCTACACCTTAGGCTAGATCGGGGTCAGCAACCTTTCAGAAGTGGTGTGCTGAGTCTTCATTCATTCACTCTAATTTAACGTTTTGCTTGCCAGTAATACATTTTAACGTTTTTAGACGGTTTCTTTCTATAAGTCTATAATATATAACTAAACTATTGTTGTATGTAAAGTAAATAAGGTTTTTAAAATGTTTAAGAAGCTTCATTTAAAATTAAATTAAAATGCAGAGCCTCCCGGATCAGTGGCCAGGACCCGGGTAGTGTGAGTGCCACTGAAAATCAGCTTGCGTGCCACCTTTGGCACGTGTGCCATAGGTTGCCTACCCCTGGGCTAGATATTCAATAGTGTGGCTTTTTTAATTTTAGCACTGGATAAGTAAATTTCACACAGAATTCGGGAGACAGAGGGGAGAGGATTCATTTCCATCTGCCGCAACAGCTACATTTTTTCATGGTTGAACAAAAACAATTCAATATACTTAAAACCTTCTAAAGTACAGAAATGAAATAAATTTCCAATGTAGTAAAGTCTTAAAACTTGGATTTGTCATATCGTACCATGCATTTCTATCAATATAAATACTGATGTTTTTTTTTTAAATGGGAACAGACACAACGGTTTAGATATTTAGAACAGAAGTGCAGCTAGTGCACAAGAATCACAATTATCTAGTAAATATATTTTTGTAACAAATGCTACTCTATAGTGAATCAATACTAAGTTTATTGCTCTTCTCATTACAAGCCAATTCAGTGTACATAAAGCAAGAAAAACTTATCTCCAGTTCCAAAACAACTTCTAAGCTTTAAAGCAGACTGAAAGAACTGATTTATGATTTCTTTTTCAAAGTCCAAAAATGGAAACTAAATAGAACATACTATTTTAAGAGGAAAGTCAACTTAAAAACAAAACCCGCACACTTCTGCCAACATATTGTATTTACTATTGCTTCAATTAACACCTAAGATCACATAGCAGATTTATTTATTTCATTACACTTTATTGTGTGCCTTTGACAGTAGTCTAGTCAGTTTGTTTCCTCTGCAGAGTCAGGTAGCTAGTCATATTTCCCCCTTATTTGTGTGAGCCTTTCATATAGCAACAGAGGAGAGAAACACTTTTAAAAAGTGTGACTGTAAAACCACAAGAGTTTACAGGCTGGAATTAGGGGCAAGGTTAGTAATCTACTTGTAAAACAAAATCTAAACTATTTTAAAAATGTAAGTTAAAATTGATCTAAGAACTCTACCACAGACTTTAAATGAAAAGTTACATTTCTTTGATAAGCCATTCAATTAATAAGATTTGCATGTGACCTTAGCAAAGTCACAATCATCCAGACCAACTTGAAAATTGATGTTCAAGGTCTATTTCTACCTTCAGATACACGTAGAATAACTTCACTGAATTCAATGGAAACGGCATCATTTATCCAAGGACAAAATTTTTAGTGATAAATCACTAATAAACAGCATCCTCATTTTCAAAAGACTGGCTGGCCTAGCAAGGATTTAAAAAATGTTTGTTAAGTTAAAATGCAGCTGGACTCCATTCTTTTAAAAATATTTTTTACTAACACATCAAGAGCGAATAAGAGCCCAATTTTGGTCTTCAAAACTGTAATTCTGGATTTGACCATTTCTTTCCCCTCACATTTACACTGGAGGGAAGCCACATATTCCTACTAAGGTATGTTTGTATGTCAGCAAGGAGTGAGGCAGATGGAGCAGCCAAAGTGCCTATTTATTTGTATTACCATAGGAGCCTTAGAGCAGCCAGTTTCCTCAAAGAGCAGCAGAAGCTTCGCGAGACCTGGGGCTGGGAAGAGTGTGTGTGTGGGGTGGGGGGGGGGGCGAAGAAAGGTATAGTTTGGCTTCCTTCCCTACAATCCAACCTAAAGAATA